AAGGTAGGAGTTAGGTCATGGGCCCGTTCCTTATTTAACCGTAGTGAAGAACACAGTTGATGCCACCTGCAGACCCCAGACTAGATGAACAAATATACTGTACTCATGGGCTAGAAGGCTCACCATTGCTGAGGTGTCCATATTCTCCAATCCATCTACCCACAGATCTAAAACAATCCCACTGGAAATGTCAGCACACTTGGGGCAGGGAGTAATTACAAGCTGACTCTGGAGTGTCAGTGCACACGCTGGTTCCCATATGATGACTGCTCTCCTTAAAGACAGGCTTCAATTTCTCATGGGGTCACTGCTCCCATGTAGGTGATTTCATCATGGGTTGATGTGTGTCTTAAGAGTTTACTGTTTTAGACTTTGAGGGACTAAAGGTTCAGGGAAACGGTTGGAGACTTTCAGGTGCCTTTTTAGGAGTTTGGGACAGGGTTAGAGATACCTTGGTTGGTTATCATCTTCATGATGTCAGCCCTTGAAAGGGTGTGAGACAGGTCAGGGTTCAGCCTGTCTTTAGAGGGCACGGAGCGAATAGCATGCTTCATGCAGAGCTGAGCAGGGAGCTGATTCAGTTTCAACCCAATCTGTGCTTCTTACCAAAAAGCAGCTCCTAAACCCCATGTCCTAGCACTGTGTTTACATTTCCTAAAGCTGCGAGCAGCCAACACTATAGTTCTGATGAAAGGGTAGACTCACACAGACCAAAGAAACAGTCTTTTGGAATCTAGTCATTTTTATTTATTTATTGAGACAGTTTTTTCTGTGCAATAGCCCTGGCTGTCCTGGAACTCTTCCTCCCTAGTGCTGGGATTAAAGGTGTGCGCCCGGTTAGTCACTGAAAATTTTTGAGTCTGACTTTACTGTCCCATGTGTGGTCTATTTTCGTACTCAGAGGAGCTATCTGCTGTATGTTCTGTATTGAATCGCAATAAAAAAATGTTTTTTCAGTTGGGCGTCTGAGGTTTGTTGGCATACATCCTGTTCGCCTGGCATGTTAACTTCACAGTGTTTTTTCTTTCTCAGGTGTACAGTTAACTCATTCTAGTTTCATTCTATTGCTGTGACAAATACCAAAAACAACACTAGTTTACAGTCCACCATTGAGGCATCTGGACAGGAAGTCAAAGATAGGGCTGCACAGCGGAAACCATGGAAGCACGCTGCTTGCTCCCAGCTCAGCCAACTTTTCCTATTAGCCCAGGAATGGTGCTCCCCGAGATGGACTGTGCTCTCCTCGGTCACCTGGGCTGTCAAGTGACTGTCAGATCAAAGCAGGACGGGCCTCCCATTAGCAATGGCTTACAGTGGAAACGCAGCATGTGGGGTTGTTAATTGTTCAAATCTGTTTTACTATTTTCCTGCCTTTGTGACTAGAATTTTTCCTTGTTTCCTGTATTTCTTCATTTTAACATCTTCCCCTGTATTAGCGGGTTCAGGGTTAGAAGTGGGTTGGGTATGGTGGCACAAGCAATACATCCTCAAGAAGGCAGGAAGATCAGAAAGGCTTACCTGTATTTTATAATCTAGAGCAGCAGTTCTTAACCTGCGTGTGGGGACCCCTTTGAGACTACTGGCACACAGACAAATTCAGGTTATGATTCATAGCAGTAGCAAAATTAGTTATGAAGAAGTAACAAGGTAATTTTATGTCTGGGATCACCACAACATGAAGAACTGTATTATTAAAGGGTGGCAGCATTAGGAAAGTTAAGAATCACTGTTTTAGATATACTGAACATTTTTATCACTTTATAATGACATTCTTTGTTCCCAAAATGATTTTTAGTCTATTTTCTTCAACATAGTCATCCCAGCTTTCTTCTGGCTAGAATTTTTTTTTAAGATTTATTGCCGGGCAGTGGTGGCACACGCCTTTAATCCCAGCACTCGGGAGGCAGAGGCAGGCAGATCTCTGTGAGTTCGAGGCCAGGCTGGTATACGACAGCTAGTCCCAGGACAGCCGCAGGAAACCCTGTCTGGAAACAACAACAAAAGATTATGTATAATGTTCTGCCTGCATGTATGCCTGAAGGCCAGAAGAGGGCACCGGATCTCATTGCAGATGGCCGTTAAGCCTCCATGTGGTTGCTATGGTTGCTGGGCATTGAACTCAGGACTCTGGAAGAGCAGCCAGTGCTCTTTACCTCTAGGCCATCTCTCCAGGCCCTTCTGGTTAGAATTTGACTGGCTTTTTGAATGCCATATCTCAGTCTTGCTGTTTTCTTACATTTTTGATTCAGCATTTATAAACACATAGCAGGATTTTGCTTCCCACTTCAACTTGACAGTTTTTATTATTTGGTCTGGTTCACTTATGTTTTTGATTGTTTTTTTTCTTGAGGCAGGGTCTCTCTCTAAACTCCTAGTTGTCCTGGAACTTGCTGTGTAGACCAGGCTACCTTCAAAGTCACAGAAACCCGCCTGTCTCTGCCTCCTAAGTGCTGGGATTAAAGGCGTGTGTCATTACCATCTGGTTTCTTTCAACCGCTTGTGTTTTCCAGACAGGATCTTGCAATTGGGCCTAGGCTGGCCTGGAACTCATGTCTCAGCCTGAGTACTGGCATTACTGCTGTATCTGAATTTACGTAGTAAATATACACACTTCGTGGACACACTAAACTCATCAAGCAGCAGCCTTCCTGTAGGGAAGAAGTCAGGAGTAAGAAGGGATTGTGGCGAGTGGACTCCTGTGTACATCCTCCCTTCATCTCAAAATAACAAAGTACCATTTGTCCTTGACGTTGCACAAAACTTGATTTCCATGTATGCATGCCACAGTGCAGGTGTGGAGCCAGACAACTTCTGGAAGTCCATTTTCTCCTTCCACTGTGTGGGTCCAGGGGGCTGAGTCAGGTTAGCAGGCGTGGCAGCAAGTGCCTTCATCCACTGAGCCATCTCGCTGGCCCCTGGCCATTTGGTAAGTTTGTAGAACTGTGAGTTTAAAGGAGGGCTGCCACCTGGTGGACATATTTAATAAATAGGTTTTTAAGCAAAGGAGCTTTAAAAACTTCAAAACCACTGGTGTGAAGAGGCATTCATATGACCAAGATCACATGTTTTAAGGTTGACTCAACCTAGAATTTAACATTTGTTTTGTTATTTACTGTATGATTTTGGGTAGAATATCAAACTCATGCCTACTTGAATTTAAACTCAGACCTTAGTCAAATAGTTAAGGCATTCTCATGATGGAGCTACAAGGCAGTGTCCCCTTGGAATTTAGTGAAGGAATTGTTTTTTCTCTTTCAGGTCTGAGATGGAATTCATGGGTTACTGTTTTCTGAGTGGTTAAACTTTGAGACATGGCTTTAAGCAACAGGCTGGTGTTAAACATTTTTCCCCCAGATAGGGTCTCTCTGCACTAAAATTCACTCTATAGACAGGGCTGGTCTTGAACTCAGAGATCTCCTGCCTCTGCCTCCTGCGCGCTGGGATTAAAGGCATGCACTTGGCCTCAAATGATCCACCTGTTTACCCTTTGGTGTTCACTGAGGTTACAGGTGTGCACACCTGGCACTATACTGGGTTTCAAGTTTGAATCCTAGTCATTTCTGCTGATGTAATAATAAGCAATAATCTCAAGGGCATGAGTTCCACAGGAGTGGGAAGGTGACTTAGTTCCTGTTCTCTTTTCCTGCCCACTGGAGTACATAGGCCTACCATGGCCTCGCTAGCTAAGTGGCATACATCTGCACAGAATGTTCTTGAGTACACATGTATGTAAAGTCACCTTGACTTATAATAACTTATTGATTTTGTAAGGTACAAGCTGAAGACAGCAAATGATTACACAGAATGCCAGCAACATGGAGAAAAGGCCCTCAATCATGAAATGGCAGAAAAGACTTCATTTCTAATGCAGTTACCACAATCTACCTCCAAGAATGAGAAAGAGGGCATGGCGGGTAGATGCGTCCTACCCCTCTCCTATAGGACAGTCCCTAAGATTTAGGGGCAGGGCCAATCTAGAACAGCCTTCTCACCCCTTCAACCATGACAGGTGTCTTTCCTTGAACTTTATATAGAAAAAGACAGGAAATCTCAACTCATCTGCCCGGGCAGTGGTGGCGCGCTCAGCACTCAGGCAGAGGCAGAGGCATCTCTGTGAATGAGGTTGGCCAACCTGGTTTATAGAGCGAGTTCCAGGACAGCCTGGTCTACACACAGAAACTCTGTCTGGAAAAACCAAAGCCAAAAACTAACCAATCAAAGCAAACAAAAAACCCAAAACATACAACCCCCCCCCAAACAGACAAACCCAACACCCCCAAAGTCCTCAATATTACTGATTAAACCACATATGCTTTTGTAGAGTATGGTGTCTTGAATAGCCCATGTCACTGCTTATCTGTCAAGCCTTTCTCAGGCGAAGCTCACTGCAGGGTGGCCTGTCATCACCACTGATCACTCCAGTGAGCTAAGGACACCTAGTCTTCATTCTTTGCTTTAAAGTCATCATAAGCTGACTTAGTGGGCTGGGAAGCTATCCCACTAGCAGGGGGGCTGGCCTAGCATGTACAGTCTAGAAAGGGTCTGATGTGCCTCAGCTGGAGCTGCAGACGGTGATTATTTCCACCAGACCACATAACAGACACTAACCTCCCAACGGAACACTACTCCCTGCTACAACACCCTGACAAACGCAGTGGCTGTGGAACCCCATGTTCTTTAGGCTGATGAACCACCAGTCTGAAACTAGTTTTGTGCATGATAAAAAGAAAAAAGTAAGGAATAAATAGCTTTGGTACACTAATGAACAATCTCCTTGACAGGATCAAAAAATGAGTGATTATGCGCTAGTGTCATGTCCCAGGTACCCACAACAGATAGCTTTCCTGAGTTTCTCGTAACCAGTTCTAACTGAACCAAAGCACAAGGAGATCCTGATGGCTGTGAAGCTGCCTGGACTTGGCTAGAGGTCCACCACACCACGGTGAGTGTCGGGGTTGGTGTTCATGTCACACAGTGGGGTTTTCATTCAGCAAACTTAATCTTATCAAATGTTCTTTAATTTCATAGACAATATGAAACATACTATATAGGCACACAACAGTTTTGCAGTACAGTTTCAAAGTCAATACAGATTAGAATACAGACGTTAAACACTGGTGCACTGACCATAGCTTGAAGATAAACTTCATAGAAAAAGTACAGTTCAAATATCAGCCAATTCAAAACTTTACTCTTCTCATAATATAAAAATGATAGATTGAGATACAAATTTTTTTTACTAAACAAACTATATAAACATTTAAAATAATCATTAAAAACTCAACATTAGAATTTATAAAGATTCACTATAAAAATATATCGGCAGTCGCTTCTCCTATAAAGGTACCATTGACTACATTACAAAATAGACTCAATGTAAAATTGCCTCAGTAACTATTTTAGAACCTGACAAACCTACAGGAAGATGATTATCAATCCTCTGGGAAGCTTTGGTATGCATCTTCAGGTTATTTAAATTATCTTAAGGGCTTCTGTAAACACTTCATTCTGTTAAAGCACAAGCAATGCTCTTCAACTGCATACAGGGTTAGAGAATCAAACAAATTATTATATCCTTGTGAGAAACTGCCCTTACCTTCTGGAAGCAAAAATAAACTGTCAAATCTTCAGGACAATTCTCTTTCCATTCTGATAAAAATGTTACAAATCACCATACTCAGATTGTGTGCCCTGTGCCTGTTTAGAACGTCTCAAAATCCCTCAAGTCCAACAAAACCAACTGTTACAACTCATTTAACACACCTGACAACATGACAAGGAACAATCAGACCACATAATTTACATACTTAGTAATGTATTACGCTTTCTTTTACATTTGTAATTTAGAATTTATTGGCAGGCGCGTGCGCACATGGGACAGACACACACACACACACACACACACACACACACACACACACACACACACACACAGGCAATCTTAGGAAATGTAAGAGATATAAACTCAGTGGGAACTGATTGCTTTTCCAATGCTGTCTGCCACTTTGGTTAGGCTGTTGCTTAAGTTGCTGGAGTCCATTTCCTTGAGCACTTTCCTCCCTGCGCTTCCAGTTTCGTCAGCAGCTTCGATATGGTCATTCCCACTTCCCCTGTCACCTTTGCATTGTAAAAATCTAATGTACAAAGTAGCTTCTTTGACCTTTGAATTTATAAAACTCCACTTTAAAAAAATCCACCTAATTTTTAAGCAAGTCCATAAAAATACTCTCTCTTTTAAGAATCAAACACTTTTATGAGAATATAGATCCTTAAGAGTTTTTAGCTCTTCTATTAGAGTTTTATTTTGATTTTCCAGAACGGCCACACGGTTCTCCAGGCATTTCACGTACTCTTTCTTCTTCCTGCGGCACTCTCGGGCAGCTTCTCTAAACATAAGCATTGACACATCAGGGAAATGTCCCAGCCTTTTCCAGACTGTTTCCTCCCTGGCCTCAAATCTGCAATTCTCCTGCCTCATTCTTCTTCTCAATGCTGGGATTATAAGCAGGGGGCACTACTCCCAACCCCAGTTGAAAAACCGAGATACCGTCTATGGGGTTGGAGAAGACAGATGACTCAGTGGTAAAAAGCACTTGTTGCTCTTGCAAAGGACCCAAGTTCAGTTCCCAGCACCCCTATTGGGTAGCTGTACCTCCATTTGGAAGGTGTCAGACATCTTTGGCTGTCACAGACACACACACAGAAAGTAATCATTTTAAAAGACAAATTTTTTAGACGTCTACCCCCTCAGCCTTGTTGGGATTCTAAGGCACAACGGTTGTGTGGTCAATACCCAGACTAGTAAACACAAACTTGTATGAGGCCCCACTGAGACACAATCCCACTGCCCCAGAAGCCATCACACCCTCCTGGTCAGCTGTCTACTAGGCAGTTGCTACCATAGATGGGTGGTCACCATGTGGGTGCTGGAAATCCAACTTGGTCCTTTAAAAGCCAGTACTCTTACCACTGAATCAACCACTTCCCCAGCCACTACCACCCAATCTGTAAGTGGCATCCAGTGAACATGTGTGGGTGCTCTTTCCAATAAGGATCACTGTCACGTGAAGAGTGTCCCAGGAATCCACAGCAGCACTTGCTACACTACCTTTTGTCTGACGGCTCAGTTTAGACTTCCCAGATGCATGTGAAGTGTGGTGTGATTTCTTGTTTACAGATTCCCTGTTTCCTCTTCTTTAGTTCTCTATTTATGGAAGTAAATCTAGAGTCTGCTGCTGTCTCTACTACAGTTCTCCCTATATAAATTGCAAGCATTCTTCTTGGTCAGGAGAATTATTCTGTCACACATTCGGTGGGTCTAATGTGTTGGGAATGTGTCCCTCCTCACACAAGGGAGGGAGGAGAGCAGCCTGGCCTCTGCTTAGGAAGGAAGCATCACTGCTGGGAGCGTGCAGGAGATGCACCTGTCTCTCCTGGCATGCAGCCTCTGAGCTGCTCTGTTCATGTACCTGTGCCCTTGCTTGTGTTCAGCGAGGCCATCCTCCCTGTAATTTGAGATCCCTCTGTTCATTGTACATTGGAGTGACAGAATATTATGAGCTGCCATGTGGGTGCTAGGAATCAAACCCTGGTCCTCTAGAAGAACAGGATAGTGCTCTAAACCATCAAGCTATCTTTCCAGCCAACTACCGGCCCCTCAGTTTTGTGTCATAGAGCTGAGGATGACTTTGAACTCCCAATCTTGTCTCCGCCTCCCAAATCCTGAGATTAAAATGTGCCACAATGACCAGCTCAAAGGTTCTCATTTTAATGAAGTCACATTCTTCAATAATTATATTAATTTCCCTGAATGTTATCTTGTTTTAGAACTCCTTTCCTATCTTCTAGGTCACACAATTATGTATATTTACATTAGAGTTTGGAATTTCACCTTATACATAAAGGTGTTCTTCACCCTCATCCCTTGAGTCAGAGTTGAGCTATATAGTGCCATCTGGCTTCAAAGATCACAGGTATGTGCCAGGATGCCGGCCTAAGCTTTTCTTTCTCTTGCTCTACAGAGTGGGATGAGTTACAGTCTCATGTGGCTTAGGCTGGACTGACAGGAGTGACTTACACTGTCACCTGCCAAGGGCTGGCCTTCTGGACACAGGACTAGTTCCCCACCCCCATCTATTTGAGTTTAGTGTCTGGAATCTGGTAGAGCTGTGCTCTCTTCCAAGGGTCTGAGGAACTGTGCAAAGCAACTAATTTTAAGTGACATTTTTAGCTTTGAGTGTAGTGACCTCGTGAAAAGCACAGGCAACTCCGAGACTGTCTCCTGTCTCTTTAGCCTATCAAACCTGGATCAATAAGTTAATTTTGGCTGGATGAGGTGAAACACACCTTTAATCCCAGTCCTCAGGAGGCAGAAACAGATGGATCTCTGAGTTCAAGGCCAGCCTGAACTAAGTTACAGAACAGCTAGGACTACAGAGAACCCTGGGTCAAAAGTGAAAACAAAGATTCATGGCTAAAGCACAGTATCGTGTTTAGGTGACAGCCTCATGGTCCCGTGGGTCTAGGTCATCCCTAACTTCGTCATTAGTTTCTTTCCTACAGGTTCCTCCACTCATTGTAAAGGGCAGCTTATACATTTCATCAGTCTCTAAAAACCCTTTGTAGCTGGTTATCTTGTTAGAAGTCTTATTGTAGTAACTCCCCCTCTCTGACTCTATAGTTTTTTCTTGTTTTGTTTTGTTTTTCAAGACAATGTTTCTCTGTGTAGCTCTGCCTGTCCTGGAACTCACTCTGTAGACCAGGCTGGCCTCAAACTCACAGAGATCCTCCTGCCTCTGCCTCCTGAGTGCTGGGATTAAAGGCGTGCGCCACTAACACCTGGCCCTCTGTCTGACTCTTCATGCTAATTTTACTGCTTTAAAAACTTTACTTTTTGGTGTGTGCGTGCGTGCGTGTGTGTGTGTGTGTGGCTGAAGAAACTGTCACACTGTAACCTTACAATCCAACCCCCTATGACCTTTTTTGTTGCCACTCTTAGTTTCTTGGTACCTTTTTTCTTTTTCCTCTTGAACATAGTACCCATTATATATGCATTTTCTCAAGAATCAAGTTTTCATGCCCGGTATATTAAAGTGAATACAGTAGGATGTCTAAAATGGAGTCTCTCTGATAGTCCTAGTACTCAGGAAGTAGGAGCAAGATCATAATCACAGTCACTGTTGGCTACATAGCCAGTTCCAGGCCACCCTGGGTTATGCAGACAAATGTTTCATGGTGACTGTTGAATTAAAATGATTTGTAAAAACTTTTAATTTTATCCAGGCTGTGGTGGCACACACCTTTAATCCCAGCACTCGGGAGGCAGAGGCAGGCAGATCTCCGAGTTTGAGGCCAGCCTGGTCTACAGAGTGAGTTCCAGGACAGCCACAGCTACACAGAGGAAACCCTGTCTTGAAAAACAACAAATTTAACTTTGTGTATAGAAGGGGACACATGTGCCATAGTGCTTGCACTTGTACACATGCATGGAGGTCAAAGGACAATTGTGTGGAACTGTCTCTTTCCTTCCATCTTTACGTGGGTTCCAAGGATTGCCAGACTAGAGCCTCTACCTGCTGACCCATGTTGATCTGTGATCTTGATGTTATCATTAAAAAAAAAAACATTGATTTATTAAGTATTCAGTGTTCTGCCTGCATGTAACCCTGAAGGCCAGAAGAGGGCACCAAGCCAGGCAGTGGTGGTGCACTCCTTTAATCCCAGCACTCAGGAGGCAGAGGCAGGCAGATCTCTGTGAGTTAGAGGCCAGCCTGGTCTACAAGGACAGTCTCCAAGGCCACAGAGAAACCCTGCCTCAAAAAAAAGCAAAAAAGAAGGCACCAGATCTCATTATAGATGGTTGTGAGTCACCATGTGGTTACTGGAATTGAATTCAGGACCTCTGAAAGAGCAGTCAGTGCTCTTAACCACTGAGCAGTCTCTCCAGCCCTTGATGTTAGCATTTTAACTGTTTTCTGGAGTCACAAACTGGCCATCTAGGATGGTAAGTTCTGAGAAATGTAGTCCATGTTCTGACAGTTCCAAATGGCTCTCCTTGAAGCTCTGATCTTGTGGAAGTCAGGCCTCTTATATCACCGTATGTTTGTAAATGAAAAGGTACCAATGATCCAGTTTAGCTGCCATGGCAAGGTTTTGTGCTCTGATTAATCATAACAGCCTAAAGGTTTCCGTAATGAAATATGTGGGGGTAGGTCCATGAGAGAAGCCTTTCTATGATCCAAAAGGCTCAGGTGATGCTGGCTGGTACTGCTTGGCAAGATGTTAGCTTTACAAACTACAGTATGTATCTGGTCTCTCCAGTGCACTGGATGGCTCCGCGGTACACATACAACTGTTGTACCTTGCGTGGTTTGCTTATTGTGGCATTTCCTGTGCTACGTTTCTGGAACCACATCACAGAATCTCTAGGTAAGAAAATGCTGTTTGAAAAGCTTTGCCTAGCAATGTTATTTTAATTTAATTTTGTTTTCTGAGACAGGGTTTCTCTGCGTAGCCCTGACTGGCCTTGAATCCAGAGATCCACCTGCCTCTCCCTCCTGAATGCTGGGATTAGAGGAGTTGAGAGCTGGGAATTGAAATCTGGGTCCTCTGGAAGATCAGTCAGTCCTCTTAATCACCAAACTATCTCCAGCCACTAAACAATGCTATTTCAAAGGACGAAGTAAAACAGAAGTAGTCTAGGTGATAGACCATTTAATACAAAGACTTATAAATGAACTCACTGATCACTGGGAATGATCCAAACCTCCTTTCTAATTATCTAGTTAGGTAATATGTGACTGTGTTATGAAACGCGCAGAACTTACCCACTCTATAAACCAATCTACTGCCTACCTGTTCTTCATCAGCCGTATTTCCCTTTTCAGTTGGGGGTCGTCTGTCTTTGTTGTCTGAGATGTAAGAGTCACAGGAGACGTCATCACCACAGTTTGTGGCAGTGAAGTGGCAGACGGTGTGGTACGGATCTGATAGGTCTGCATATCTCCTGATGCAGCTGTAGAGCCAAAAAAGTGAGTTATTGGTGAAGCGCCCCAGAGAGGACTTGGATATGTCTGTAGGTAAGGAGACACTTACTCTGCACAACCACCTGGTTGCTCGGGACGAGGATTTGCTGTCCATCAGAAGTCTGCGCATACTGGAGGATTGTACCATGTTGAGTATTGCCTGAATTTGTCATGGTTAATGTCTGCAGTCCCTGGACTCCATCTGTGCCTGGACTGGCCAACTGTAAGGCTCCGTTGGGGGCAATGGCAACTAACCAAAGAGAAAGAAAATAGTTATAAGGTTATACAATATACTAATCCCAAGAAGGCCATTAAAAACAAACACTTAAATAGGTTTGAAGGTGGGCATGGTGGCACTCTCCTTTCATTCCTGCACTGGGGAGGCAGAGGCAGGTGGATCTCTGTGAGTTTGAGGCCAGCCTGATCTACAGAGCGAGTTCCAAGACAGCCAGAGTTACACAGAGAATCCCTGTCTTGAATAAACCACAATAAGGAAATAGAGAATAGACTTGAATGCAGTTCTACTAGGTTAAATCAGTCTTGAAAATAGCAATTATCTCCATAAAATTTTATAGGTTAGCTATACTACCCCAGGATTTAGTTTCAAGTTGTGAAATACACAATGAATCATAAATATGGTACATTTTGGAATTCATGGACATTTCATGTTAATTGTTAATTTGTCACAGAAATTTCTGGTGCATTAAAGAGAGCTAATGGCTAAGGATTTCTTCCTTCTCTCTCCTCCCTCCCTCTTCCTTTCTTTCTGAGATACTTATCTCATGTAGCTTAGGCTGTGCTAAGACTCTATACAGCTAAGGAGGCATGTATGTCACCATGCTTGTTCTAATTAATGGCTAACTTTTTTCCCCCTTGAGGGTGGGGGCAAAGAAACACAAACTTCCTAGGGTTTTCTGTGAACCTGGGCATGGTGACACACCTTATGATCATGAGTTCAGGACCACAATAGGCTAGACGGGTATCAAAACAATAGAGAATTAAGAATACCGTGTTTTAGGGGTTAGGGAAATGGCTTAATGAGTAAAGACCTGAGTTCATCTGATGTCTTCACACATCCTGTACACACACACTAACTAAAAATTGAAAACAAAATCGTGTTGGCAGGTAGGCAGCACATTGCCTTTAATCGCAGTATTTGAGAGGCAGGAGCGTGGTGATCTGAGTTCAGAACTTGGTCTAGATAGTCAGTTCCAGGCCAGCCAGGGCTACATGTGATATCCTGTCTCAAAAATAAATAAATAATATACTACTATGAAGTACGCAAACATGTAAGACATTAAAGTTGTTAAAATATTTCCCATACATTTTAAAAGGATTTATTTTTAAGAGGTGTGTATGTAATATATACATCTGTCTGTGCTTATGTGAGTGTAGACACCCTAGGAGTCTCAAAAGGGTATCAGATCCCCTGGAATTGGAGTTGTATCTGTGAGTTCTCAAACATGGGTACTGGGAACCCATCCCAGGTCCTCTGCAAGGAATCGACACATTGTCAACTACTGAGCCCTTTAAAAGTATGTTTGAATAGATACTATTAGTCTATACAAATTTTCTAAAAGAAGGTCAGCCTCACTCATGTTTTCACTTCATTCTATTGCAGACACTGGTTTACATATTACTACTTAGGTGATAAAGAATGTAGCCAGGCACGGTAGTGCATACCTTTAGTCCCAAAACTTGGGAGGCAGAGCCAGGTGGATCTCTGAGGCCAGCCTGGTCTACAGAGCAAGTTCCAAGACAGCTAGGGCAGTGAAAATAAGTCATCAGAAAGCCACTTGTAGACCACAGTATTAGACCTCAGACATTTTCATTGAACTGTACCCATGTTCCTGCCCTCTTAAGTGACACACTTGAGAGGCAGGGCCAAACAGATGCTCTAAAAGTCTCTACCTGAGCTCAACACCTCATACCTGCGCCCTTTCACGTCGAAACTAATGTTTGCCTTCCAGACTCTGGCTGTCAGGAAGCCAGAGCATAGCTGTCTGTGTACAAGAGGGTTATATCTGACATGACTTTTCCCAGGAGCTCCTCCTCAGTTCTACCACAGATTTACACATACCTGAGCACATGACTTCAAAATGCTAATTATTTCAGACAGAGGTTCCTTTTGAAATTATAGTTGTAAATTTCCTCAATATAAAGATATTATAGTCTCACTTCCAAAAAAATCTATAATAGACACTCTCATTACCTGTCCTAATTTATTTACTTGCAGGGTAGAGGTGACTACTCTCCATACCTTGTAGTACCCACTATCTCTGGTGTATACCCTTCCTAGCTTCCTCATATGGACTGATAGTAATATATATATATCAAATATGTGTATGAAATACTCACAGTTGCAGATGAGCATGTTTGGCTATCACACATAAGCAAATAATGTACTTTTTCTGTTTGCAAACTGCCCTGTTCTAGTTTACCATGTGTATTTACCTGTCCTGTTTATTCTAAAGCTTCACTGTTCAATATAGTAGCCACCGGCCTCATGTAGCCACCATATAAAATGAAAGAACTCAGTTCCTTATTCTCACCAGTCCCATCTCAAGTACCAAAAAGCTTGATGTGGCTTAATGGCTACTGTCCTGAATACTGTAAACTTTGCCATCATATATGAAAGTCCTACTGGACAGCCTTAAATACTAGTTTGCATTTGTATTTATTTACACTTACCACTTCAAATATTTGCATAAGCTTTTAAGCAGTTTTTTTCCTTTTCTGCTGCCTTTAACGTCTGTGTTGGGAGTTGCCAGTGAAACAAGTGTATAACGAAGCCAGCGTCAACCTCTGCGCTGTCACCTCTACAACTACTGCTCACAGTCTCTTACATTTCCAAAGAACTCTACAGGGGTGAAGAAACCTTAAGCATGGGGAGTTGGTCTTAAAGACCTGTTCCAGCCAGACGGGAGGCAGAGGCAGGTGGATTTCTGTGATCTGTGAGTTCGAGACCAGCCTGGGCTAGTTCCAGAACAGCTTCCAAAGCCACAGAGAAACCCTGTCTCGAAAAAGGAAAAAAAAAAAGAAAAAAGAAAAAAGAAAAGACTTAGCTGGGCGTTGGTGGCGCACGCCTTTAATCCCAGCATTCGGGAGGCAGAGGCAGGTGGATCTTTGTGAGTTCGAGACCAGCCTGGACTGCCAAGCGAGTTCCAGGACAGCCTCCAAAGCCACAGAGAAAATAAAAAAAAAGAAAAAAGAAAGAAAAAAAGACTTGTTCCACGTCTGGAGAAATTGGCTAAGAATGCTGGCTACACAATCAGGAACATCCGAGTTCAAGAGCCTAGCTCATGTAGTAAGTCAAGCATCCTATGTACACCTCTACTCTAGTTCTCCTGACTTCCTCTTCTGGCCTCTTTGTGTGCACACAGAAGGGCACACACAAATAATCAACCTTAAAAAACAAAATCCACAGAGTTGTACTTAAACAGAGGAACGAGGTTAGCCATGTGACTATCTGCATCTGCATGGGGGATAACAACCTCAAAGACCCTGAAGAATAAAAGCAATAAATAAATAAATAAATAAAAGTGTGGACTGAAGGTACAGAAGGAACGCCTGTGTGGTCAGACTGAAGGCTAACCCAGAAACAGAGTACAGGCCTGGGGTATTATGCTAGGTGTAAAAGCTACAGCAGGAACTGGACCAAGAGTCTTATTTGACAATTTAATTCTCTTAGGGTCTGATGTGGTTTTAGATGGCCTCATTTAATCGAGGCTGACCTGAACCTGCTACATAACCAATAATGATCTTCAACTCCTGAACCTCCTGCTTCTGCCTGCCTCCCAGGTTTGGGATTACAGACTAAAGCTTGAAAAAGAAAATTAAGGTATAAAAAGGAGCCAGGTAACAGATGGACTAGAGGCTCTCTGCAGGGACCCAGGAAGGTGCAGTGCTGAGAGGTTAGGGGCTGAAAGGAGGTCAAACGGGACAGGCATTTTAAGGATGGAAGGTGCCAATATGGTAGGTGGTCAAGCACTTCACTGCTGAGCTACACTTCAACTGCCAAGTACATTTTCAAGTGGTCTTACACATCAACATTTATCCAAACTCCCAAAGTGATAGAAGACTGGCCAGGAAAAGTTTAGAGTAGTGGTGTCACTTCTGAGGTAAGTGGGTGCTAGAGGGGAGGAGCTGGAATCCCTTCCTGACTTCCACCACTAAGATAAACTTAAGGTGTGCCAACAATTGAGAAAGAAAATATGGGGAAATCTAGGAGACGGAAAAGCACAAGTCCAATATCATAAAAGACTGAAAAATACACACACACACACACACACACACACACACACACACACACACACACACACACACACACACACGTTTACTTAGAACCAACTGGGTGTGGTAGCACACAACTTTAATCTCAGACACAGGAGGAGGCAGGTCTGAGTTCCAGGCCTGCTAGAGCCACGTAGAAACCCTGTCTCAAAAACAATAGTACTGAGTTCATCATACCTGTTATCTTTGCTAAGTGTCATTTTAACAAATGAAAGAATCTCATTTCCTAAATTATACTTCCCCAAAGTCGTCATCACTAGTCCCTAGATGGGATTCACACCACAGCAGTAACTTGGTCTCCACACTGACAGCCCAGCATCACTCATGGTGCACGCTACTGTCACAAGTCTCAGTTCTTTTTCTTCCTTAACCTCAAACTGAAAATACACTTTTCATGTTTAATTTTATCACACACGTAACCCAAATATTAATTTCTACCAGCATTAAGGTCACAGACATAAGAGCACTTGATCTTAGTTTGGAGACCAGGGGTGGGGTGGGGGAAGATGTCCTACCTCTAGATCCAGATAAACACAACTCCATTCTTTCAAGTTATATGACATTAGGAATAGTATCTAATTTTTTTCAGGGGCAGGGCAGGAGGGACTGTTTTTGAGTGAGAGACTCACTGCATAGTGGCTGGCCTGGGATTCACTATGGAGCCCTTGCTGGCCTTGAACTTCTGTAACCCACCACACCAGGGGAAACGTTATTTATCTCTTTAAGTCTGTTCTTCACCCATAGTCAACTCCTACCCTTACAGTTATAAGGAAGTGAGACAATGCAGAAAACCACCTCTATTACTAGTCAATCCTCATAAAGCAGGGAACTTTTCCTATAGGCATTTCTTTCCCCAGTTAGTTCTATGTATCTACCATATGGGAATAACTATACATACTGTACTGTCCGCTGCTGGTCTGATAGATGGGGGTTGGAACAGACATAGAAGTGACAGCAGAAATGCCAGGATTTTCTACGTCTCCTTTTCTGGCCCGTATATCTTCAGAAGAGAGGTCTTTCAAAATTTTTCTGTAAAAAGAACAGAACTCTGTTTAATGACTGTGCCCTACAAAGACACTTTCTCCTATCCAACCCAGCCTCCCAAGCGCGGGCATTACACATAGTCACACCGGTTCAGCTTAAAAGTACAGTCATCTAACCAGGTGTGCTGATGCATGCCTTTAGTGTCTGTTTGGCAGGCTGAGGCAGGAGGATTACTTAGATCAGAAGTTTGAAATAAGCAGGGGCTACAAAGTAATGGACTGTCGCAAAGACAGGAAAGAGATTAAGCAAAAGCAGAAGACAGTCCTAATCAGCTCCGTGTGTTTTATCAAATCATCCCATCCCAATTCTCCAGGATCGAGAAACATTCACTCTTTAAACTTGACCAGCTGCTGAGACAGATGAGTCCCCACAATGCAGTCTTTCTAAGAGCTGTCACTAAGAACGGCTTTAAATCTCACAAACTTATTCCCTGTGAATCACCCTCAAGTGACCTTGACTCAGGAATTCTGGAGGCTGCTGTCTGGATGGGACAGACCTCTGAATTTCCCAGCACTCAGCTAGGTCAGTTTAGTTCAACATGGCAGTTAACTCGTGTAACAAGGCACAATTTAAACCCTTCATTGTTCCTGAAGCAGTTTGCTGTAGCTGACCCTGCAAGGACAAGCCTGCTTTGAGACAGAAGTGGAAATCAGGGGGCAGGGTCCTGAAGAAAGGACAGACGGTCTGACACACAACCCTATAAACCAATCTTATCCTAGATCTACATACAAGGACAGAGAAGCCACCATTTGTCCCAAAAAAAGAGCTGCCAGCAAAAACTCCAAAAGGAGAGAACATAAGGAAACCTTTCCAGACACCCCAAGATACTACCTTGGAAAAAAGAGCCCAACACAAGGATAGCATGGCTGCTGGGATTCCTGGAAAACTACTCAAGTGAGTAAGTTACAAGCAAGGAAATCAAGTAGCTTTCTCACTCATCCATAAAGAGGACTAGCCCGAAGAGAAAAGTGTTCCTTATGAGAACTCTGTACCCCCAGCTGTTCTGGATCTCACTCTGTAGACCAGCCTGGCCTCCACTCACAGAGATCCACCTGCCTCTGCCTCCTGAGTGCCAGGACTAAAGGCGTGTGCCACCACTGTCTGGCCTCTTTTTTTTTTTTTTGAGTGCACAAGTACACATAAAATTAGGTGTGTAGGGCTCAATAAACAACTGTTGAATTTTTTAAAATTACAACTATCGAGCTGAGCTTAGCGGTGCACACTTTTAATCCCTGAGGTGGGTGGAGGCATCGGATCTCTGAGTTCCAGGCCAGCCAGAGATACACAGTAAGACCCTGTCTCAAAAAACTAAATAAACAAATAAAATAGCACAACTCTCCCTCTCTACTAGAGACCCAAACCATAGTGTTAAGAAGTCTTAGGGGGCCTGAAGAGAAGAAGGCTCAGTGGTTAAGAGCACTGGCTGTTCTTCCAGGGGACCTGGGTTCAATTCCCAGCACCCACATGGCAGTTCACAACTGTCTGTAACTCTAGTTCCAGGGAATCCAACACCCTCACACAGATGTACATGCAGCAGAACATCAATGCACATAAAAATAAATCATTAAAAAGAAAAAAGCCAGGAGGTGATGGTGCACACCTTTAATCCCAGCATCCAGGAGGCAGAGGTAGGTGGATCTCTGTGAGTTTGAGGCCAGCCTGCTCTACGGAGCGAGTTCCAGGACAGTCAGGGCTGCTACACAGAGAAACCCTGTCTCAAAAAAACCAAACTAAGCCAGTTACTGCAGCTGGAGAGATAGTTTAGTGGTTAAGAGTACTTTTACAGAGGACCTGAGTTGGGTTTTCAACACCCATACCAGGCAGCTCACAACTCCCTCCCTTAATTCCAGGTTCAGGGCATTTGATGACCTCCTCCAGCCTGTGAGCACTGCTCTCATGTGCATATACCCTAACACATACACATAATTAAGAATAATAAAGCAAATCCTTTAAACCTGTACAAAGTTAATATGTCTGTCCTTGAACTGTTGATTCAATGGAGTCCAAATTCCTCATGAGACTACAAGTCCCATGACTACTAGCTCCTGACCACCTTTTTAATAGACTTCTTCCTCTAACACCTTCACCTCCCAGGCCCTAAAACAGGCAGACCTGCTCTCCTTCCTCCTCTCTACCCTGGATTATGCTGCTGTTAGCTGAAGGAGCTCTTCTGCTGCCTTATAAACTCTACCTGCTTCGTTCTTACGAAGATCCAGTTAGTGTTGCCTCGGTTCACACCTAGTGACTCTTTCCCATTTATTCTTCAGACAGACTGACCCCGTGCCTGCTCCTCTCACACTACCTGAAATCATACTACACAGTTTACATGCTTCATCATCTTCTGTCCCTGGTTCCTCCTACCACATAGCCTCCAGCTTTGGTCAATGCTACCATGGAATTGTCACAAATTCACTCACTCCAAATATAGCCCTACTCCTATCCATATGAAATTCAGACAATTCCAAAGGCCTGTTAGTTAGTTGCACTACTTACAGATCCCCATTCATGGAGCAAGTAATTACTTGGCATCTACTAAAGGATGGTGACTCTGCTAGGACCTGACATCACAGAAAAATATGGCCACCCGCTTCAAATGGAATTTCTATGGGGCTAGAAAGATTACTGTTCTAGCAGAAGACCCAGGTTCGGTTCCCACTTCCCAGCACTCATATGGCAGCTCACAACCACCTGTAACTCCAGTTCCAGGGAATCAAACACCCTCTTCTAGTCTCACGAATACACATGCCACACACAAACACGCAGGCAAACACCATAAACAACTCTAAAGGCACATACTGATATACATGCTAACAAGTACTAAAGGAGTCACAACAAAGATCTTACTGTCTCAGGAAGTCAGGAAAAGTTAAGTAGAAGCTTCTGGTAAGCACATACAGGAGTTAGGTATGCGGAGTGTAGCAGTGTGTGGAGCATAGAGGTATTTTAGAAGAAAAAGCATACAAAACAGCTGAATCCTGAATTTGGCTGTCCTGTTTTTATGAGAGTTACAACTACCAGCAGAACCCAGTGACATGTGCTTTTAATCCCAGCACTTGGGAGGAGAGGGAAAGGGAATCTCTGAGTTCGAGGACAGTCTGATCTACACAGAAAAACCATGTATCAAAAACAACAAACCATTTTAAGTCTCAGTTCTTTAGCTGCTTCCAGCCTACCTCTCTTAACATCTGTGACTTTGCTTAACCATGCTGGCACTCTACAGATTCTCACAGGACTAACTGAACACATTTGATAACGAAGTACCAACCTGTAAGACGGACGCCGGGCCAGGATCCCGTGAGCTTTCTGTGAGGAGCCTATGCTGTCAGATGAGTCCTGAGACTCCTCACTTTCTGACAAAGATGACACCTAAAAATCAGAACTGATTTTAATATATATGCTGAAGAATACAGATGGGGAAAAAATAGTTTTCAACTTTCAAAGAAATGATCCGTCTTCTGTCACCCAAATGCACTGCACATTACTCCAAAAGAAGGGGGAGCAGTTAAACAAAATTGTATGACACACACCTCTAACCCCAGCACTCGGGAGGCAGAGGCAGGTGGGTTTCTTGAGTTGGAAACTAGCCTGGTCTACAGAGTGAATTCTGGGACAGAGAAACTCTGTCTGGAGAAACCAAAAAAGAACATACAACACAGTAGCCCAGAACTAACATTAACGCTTATATCTCAAGTAAAATGACACTAATTGGGGGCTGGAGAGATGGCTCAGCAGTTAAGAACACTGGCTGCTCTTCTAGAGGTTGGAAGTTCAATTCCCAACATGTAGACAAAGCATTCACGCACATAAAATATATACATACACCTTTAAATGATACTGCTAAAAAGACACTTCTGATCTCACCCTGCACCGTATTTAGACATGCTAAGGAGACTGCTGAATCTGAGCCTACTGATCAAGTTCTGTGCGAGACAAAGCACGTGGAAGGCTGGAGACTAAACTGTTTTAGGGATGACAAGCTTGTACTGTTCTTCCAGAGGACCAGAATTCAGTTCCTAGCAGCCACACTTTGCTGCTTCAGGAGCATCGAATGCCTCTGGCCTCCACAGGCACCTGCACACATGTACAGGTACTCACAAACAAATACACATGATTAAGAATAATCAAAGTGAATATTTGAAATTTGGAAGGCAAAGCTCTTTGGAGTCCTTAAAGCCTTAAAATTAAACAGGCAATCACACTTAAGTCAAGAGTACTTTAACATTAATAGACTAATAATAATAAGAGATCAGCCAGGCATTGGTGGTGCACGCCTTTAATCCCAGCACTCGGGAGGCAGAGGCAGGCAGATCTCTGTGAGTTCGAGGCCAGCCTGGTCTACAAAGTGAGTTCCAGGACAGCCTCCAAAGCCACAGAGAAACCCTGTCTCGAAAAACCAAAAAAAAAAAAAAAAAAAAAAAAAAGAAGAGATCAAAAAGCGAGACTGAAGAGGAAAACGGAGCCACAGGAGCTGCCCTGGAACAACTACTGAAGGCAGTGCAGTGAGGAACAACCACGAGGACAGAGAAGAGACGGAGGTGACAGGTCGTGCTAATACAAACACATGCAATTTCAGCAACTGTAGCGGTCAGTATCAGCGCTGTCTCATCTCATGATTAAATGAGCCAGTATATGTAAGGCACTTTATGTGGCGGACACAGGAAATATTAACCACTCTTAAACATTTTAAAACAAACTTTAAGTAGAGACAGGGTTTCTCTGTGTAGCCCAGGCTGTCCTCAAACTCACAGAGATCCTCTTGCCTCTGCCTCCAAATGCTGGGATAAAAAGCGTGCGCCACTATGTTTAACTCTTAAAATGAATAAAATATCTGACACCTGACTTCATTTTCATTTTTAAACATAAAATAATTCAAACAGGCTCCAGAAAGTGAGAGTCAGCCCTCTATCTAAACTTCCCTTAGACCATCATGGAGACCAAGCTCTTCTGGAGAAGCTTGTCTCACACTTAACAGCTCATTCCTGTGACCCCAGATGTTGTGGCCAGTCTGGGCTAAATAGTGAGAGACCTGTCTCAAAAAAGATAGCAAACCCTCAGAATTCTGAGTTCACAACACCCTTTATATCTCACAGCAAATCTGTATCTGACAGGAAAAAAGTTAGTGACACTCAGATAATGAGAGCTTTCACTGATCCAGTTATCACAGATGCTCCCCCCACCATGGGGTCTCACTAGATAGCCCTGGCTGTCTTGGAACTCACTTCAAAGTCACAGAGATCTGCCTGCTTCTGCTGGGACTAAAGGCCACTCTGACAGGCCTGATGTCCTGTTTCTAATGTAAACCTTAGCTACCTTTTCAGTTTGCCCCTGAGTTTACTTCAGGCCTCTCACTAAACCCCCGAGGACAGTAACTTCTACAGTAAACATTCCTCTTGGTAATCCTGCCAGCAAACAGTCTCAAGTCTATGCAGCTGTCCTCTTTCATACAGAAGAACAAACAAGCCACACAGCAGCCTTGTGTCACACAGTTGGGGTTCCAGCACTCCAGAGTTTGAAGTCGCCTGGCTAAAAAAACAAAACAAAACACTAATCTGACAACACTGCCAGTCACTGTGTACTCAGGAGGAAAAGACTGACACTTTCCTTCCCAGAAGCCTCCTGGGACAATGACACTGGATCTGAGGTACCCTGCCATTCCTTGTAGCCGGAATGCAGAGAGGACAGAGAGAACACAGAAGAGCTCTCTCTCAGGAAGAGCTGGTAAGAAGGGAGGTGGAGAGGTTTGGACTTCAGATACAACACCTGGATCTTCCCTTAGGAAGAGGTACCTCCTGATGCTGGGAGAGTTGGGGTTTCTTTCACAAATGGTACCACTGGGATAAAGGGATCTTTGCAAAGTTTCTTTTTTAACCAGGCAGAGTGACACAGGCCTGTAATCCCAACACCCAGAAAACTCACACAAAATTTCAGGTCTTAGGCCAGCCTATGCTACACAATGTCTACAGAACAAAACAAGACCTTTTCATTTCCTTAACTTCTAAACCATATACAAGCTGTCTTCTTTCTTCACTGCAGTATATTTGCCTCATCTGGCCTGCAGACTACCTTCTAGTTGCTAGTGCTGTAACTATGAGGATGTGTAAACCTTAGGGTATACAATCCCCATATTCAGAGCAACCTGATTTCTGTCTGCACACGAAGACGAGGCTGTCTGGCTGACCCCTGAAGCTGGACTTGCACTCCAGGAAGAGGAATGACTGTCAGTGGCACGGAAGTTCTGACAGCTAAGAACAAGTGAAACTTCCCAAGGAAACATTAGTGCGTCTATGCACGCACGCACGCACGCACGCACAGCTGAGCTCTCAGCACTGACACATGTAGGGTTGAGAGTCCACACTGGTGGCAGTGTCAGTACCGCACTGGAGCAAGGGAAGAAGGCATCAGCTTTAGCTGGGTCCTAAAGGAAAAATACTCCCAGTGTCTGGAGAAAGGGCTAGGTGGAAAGGTAAAGACAGAAAGGATTTCCAAGTCAAGGAACTGACAGGGCAAACACAGAAACCCTGCCGCCACATCCTCTGCCCCCAACACGGGGCCTAGCAAGCACTCCACCACAGCACTAAATCCCCAAACCATGCCATGTCCCTGGCCCAAAATGCCATCTCTCCAACCTTACTATCTAGCATGTAGAGTCTAGCAAAAGGCTTCCTGATAAAAGAGCAAGGACCTAGGGGCTGGAGGGATGGCTCAGTGGTTCAATTCCCATCCCCCACACGACAGCTCACAACTGCCTGTAACTCTAGTTCCAGGGGATCCAACACCCTCACAGACAATACAAGTAGGCAAAACAGCAGCGCACATGAAATTAAAAAAAAAAAAAAACAAAGACCTAGTAATCACTGTCCCCTCCCTTAAGAATCACCCAAAAGGGTCTTGTCAATAACTTGGATAGGAAAGTAACCTCCCACCCCTCCCCTCAAAAATCCATGTATTCTAGGTGCTTCAGAACAAGTATAAAACCTTCTTAAAATGTAGATAGGCACACTGGTCTCATTGAATGTATAGTTCAGCATACCATAATAAAATATCTACTTTCAACATATGTGTCTCACCTGAATTCTTGTAATGGAGACCCAAAAGCCAGGAAGCCAGAGTAAGACTCTGGTGACAGTTACTAACTAGCTAGTCACATGCTCCTATCATGTATGTGAAATGTGGCTACTGTGTTTCTTTTTGTTTTTGCTAGCCCTGGCTGTTCAGACCAGGATCATCTCAAATTCAGAGATCAACCTATCTCTGCCTCCCAAGTGCTGTGATTAAAGATATGTGCACCACTATGTACAGCTTGAGGGAATAACTTTATTTAACTAAATTAAAACTGATGAACATGCATACTACTAGCTATATACCCAAAAATGCAATCCTAGCGGGGTGATGATGGCGCACACCTCTAATCTCAGCACTTGGTAGGCAGAGGCAGGCAGATCTCTGTGAGTTTGAGGCCAGCCTGGTCTACAGAGCAAATTCCAGGACAGCCAGCGGGGGGCTAACACAGAGAAAACTAGTCTTGAACCACTCCCTCCCAATGAAAGAAAAATGCAATCCTATCCTGATACCTGTCAAGCCTCTAACTTCTCAGAACAAAGATTTGTTAGTTAATATACTATAATTTGTTATAATATTGTTTTTACTGGGTTCTTAATGTATCAAAGTCATTAAATCAACACATGAAGGAATATTTACTAAACGGGACACTGAAAAGTCAGCCTAAAAGGCTGAGGGTGTGGTGGCACACACCTTTAGTCCCAGGCAGAGGCAGGTGGATCTCTGTGAGTTTCAGGTTGACAAGGCTACAAAGTTAAGACCTTGCCTTAAAAACAAAACAAAAAGAGAGGTCTTCCTGTCCTTCACTTCATGCTTCCTGAGTCTGCATGGGAAGATTTAAAGTCAAGACAGCTCTGTGGGCACCTATGGTATGCCCCATCTAAATGGTACACAAGACAGGAGATGCTAACTTCAGTTTGATGTCCTAACATTGGGTCTAGTTCACCCCACTCTAGTCTTCCTTTATTATGTCTAGTATTGTTTATTTTTTAGACAGGGTCTCAGTATGTAGTGTGGCTGCCCAGGAACCTGCTTTGTAGACCAGGCTGGCCTTGAACTTGTGCATGCCTAATGCCCTCAGAGGTCAGAAGAAGGTGTCAGGTTCTCTGGGCTGGAGTTATACATAGTTGTGTAGGAGCTGGGAACCAAATCTCAAACCTCTACAAGAGCAGCTAGTGCTCTTAACCACTAACCTATCTCCCAAGTCATAGAATATCTTTCTTTGTAAGTGCTTTAACATTTTTATGTTCATCTAATTTCCTTTATGTACATTTTCCATATATATATTGAGACAGGGTTTCTCTGTA